TTATTATAAAGATAAATATAATTTATTTATTTTATATATACAATATGGATGTCAAATCGAAGATCATCAAAAGATGATTAATTTGATATATTATATATGTAAAATCGATAAAAAATACAAAAGTTATAAACTTTTAAAATACATTTATAATCAATAGCTTATTGAAGGAAACAAATCAAAATTCAGGGATATATTAGTCACTTAGTGCCTCACTATGTAAAATTACAAAAAATTAAAGGGTTATATTAATAAAAGTGATATTAAAATACCTAAGTTAGCTAAATAATATTTATGGAATACCCGAACCTAGATGATTAATTATTATTATATCAATATTATTCATCCAAACCTAATTACGAAGCATGATTCTTCGCAAAATAGGATTCCGAAGCACCAAAAGCAGCCACGTAGGCTCAGCGCATTCGGGAATTATATATAGGGAGGATTTTGTCTGACGTTAGGTTTGGTTTTTAGACATAAATAACTTTTATCATATATTTTTTTAACTCAACACCGCGTAGTACACGAGTAATGTACTTGATATAGTCACACTGGCTCATAACGGTTCATATCATCATGGTCCGAAGCTATCGAGTCGACTTCAACTTAGTCGACTCCGCCAGTAAGGTTCCACGATACAGTCAAGAATCCCGGCTCTCGACCGAGTCGACGTACACTCGTCGACTAGAATAAGTCGACCTCTGGCAAGACAACGGTCGGACGTATCAGGGTCCACTAACGGTTGAATATGGTCCAGTCGACTCGACTCAGTATCTCGGGTCGACTGAAGAAGTCTTGCGGTTCGTAGTTCCCGATAGCTTTGACACACCTCAGCATATTGAAGAAGAGTTAAGGATAAGAAGGAAACTAAGGAAGGATCTAGATGCTGACTAGGAAGTGGGCAGAATGCAAACCGACCGGGATATTCTGGACATTTCCATTGAGTCGGCCGGGGTACTTTGGGGACTTCAGGTAAATATTACACTTCTATATAAAGGACTGAGGTAATCCCAAAACCCTAACTCTCATTCATTCCATATCTTATTCATTACTGCGGCGGCTCTCATAGCAGCTCCCATCATCTCTCTCATATACTGACTTGAGCGTCGGAGGCTCTACGCCGGAAACCCCTCCGGCGTTGAGTTCTTGCAGATGTACTTGCGGCTCAACAACGGTTCGAACGTCATCACATCAGATCTAAGCTCATTCGCACCGGTTCGTCCCAGATCCGGACGTTTTCCCATTGGACCGTTCCAGATCTAAGAAGAGACCCATCAGTACTAGTTCATAGTTAAATTTAATTCAACGTTAACTCCACTGCACTATTCTCAATATTACCAATATAACTATATATCATCAACTAATCATTCTAAAACCTCACATCAACTTTAATTTACTATTTATCCATTCACATAATTTTAATTATCCTAACACTTACAATCAGTTGTCTCCTACTTTTACATCAAAAAATAATTTTAATTATTTTATTTTATATATTATTTTAACGTCCCGTTAAAAATTAAAATCAACTTTTTTATTTTTCAAAATTAACTATGGTTATTAAAAAAACCAGTAAAAAAATTGGCTTATTTGTATTCAAACATTGGCTTTTCAAATGCAACTTGTTCTTTTGTAAACATTGGCCTCATTCACTGTGAGGTTATTATGAAATGCATAATTAGTTTTGTTATAAAATCATGCGATTTATGAAGTCATATATAATTATTCACATATGTATTAAGGAGTGTTCTAAAATAAATATATTTAACAATTGGGCTATTTTTATCATTACATGTGAAGGTAAAATCATATTGTATGGGCCGATGCCCAATGGATGAATGGGCTTCAATGGAATTGATCAAATTGTTCTGGTTACTTAAAAACCCGACCCGATACTTTACCGTCTGAAATCTCTTCAAATTCCAAGTCCGCATCAATTTGGCGGACCCTCTGAAACCCTCAAATGGGTAGACTTTCTTCAGCCATAGAAATCCCCGAACGCCGCCGTACCGCCAGCCACCGCGACAATGGCCGGTATTCC